AAATAAGCTGGAAGTGTCCGCTTGGTGGCTGTATGGCGAGCAGTGGTTGAGGGAGGCTCCTCTCCTCCTTGTTTAAAGGCATGGATGCAACCTGTCTACTTGGAACAAAATATAATAATAAAAAAGGGGAGGTTTCACTTCTGGTTTACCTGTTGTGATCCTAATTTTACGTTCTTCCCCCGCGAGGTCTTCTAGGAGTACCGATACGGCGATGGGTGTTTGTGCTGGAGTACTACCAGGTTCTGTTAAAACATTTCGGGTTCCGGCAATGTGCTCTACGCTCGGTCAGGCTGAGCATCCAAAAATCAGTTGAAGTCATTTTTGAGAAGGTTCATGTCAAATTTTCTTAACTGCTCCCAGGTCTCTTCCTCGCACTGACAAGGGCATTTATAGGCTCCTGGGGTTGGTTTTTTTTGCTTTCAGTGGAGTTATATAGACAAATGAATGACAGGTTCCTGTCCAGAAGAATTTACAGTAGAGTATAATTAAGTCCCTTGCTATTCTGCAGCACAAATAATCGTAAATAATAACGTCTCTTGACACCCGTAGTGACACTTCCTCGTCAAAGCACCATGCAACTCTAAGCCATCGTTGTCTGTCTTAATAAAGTATTTCCCACTTAAATTGTCCGCCTTTAAGCCACCTGCAGGCTCCGTGATCAGCCAGGATTGCCCAGGCTGATTTTTTGGCTGAAGGCGAGGGGGGTTGGCGCCTTCACGCGTCGCCTTGCCTGCTTGCACCCCTACACCTTGTCCTTCGTGCGGAGGAAGCCAAGCTGTCGTCAGACTCGGCCTGGGACGCTTCCGTGCCCTCGCCGCTGGAGTCAGCCGTGTCAAACGTGGTCACGGAGCGGGATCACGGCTAAAAGCCACTGGCAGAAAAGCAGCGCCCGCTTGCCAAATGAGCGCTGCTTTAGGGTGCTTGGAGCATCTGTGGGGTTGTAGCCCGAGAAGTAGGCATAGCTCCACTGATGGCCAGAAACGGAATTTATTCAAAAGCAGTTCTGCAGTGCTTGCTTTCGGCGGTGCTTACGCGGGAGTAGGGTAGCAGAAGATTTTGTGTTTGCTAGAATGACTCTTTGAATTCCCATTCTCTGGCCCTCAGAGTGCATATAAGGGTAAAAAATAAATACGTTTTATTTCTGCTTAGTTGGACCAGAATCTGAATAGGAACTTTATTTAGACTGGATGTAAGGAAGAAATTCTTTCCAGTGAGGGTGGTGAAACCCTGGCAGGGGTTGCCCAGAGAGGGGGTGGAGGCCCCATCCCTGGGACCATTCCAGGCCAGGTTGGCCGGGGCTGTGAGCAACCTGATGTGGTTCAAGGTGTCCCTGCTGCTGCAGGGGGGTTGGGCTGGGTGACCTCTGGGGGTCCCTTCCCACCCAAAACATTCTATGATTCTATGATTCTATGACTCTTCTACAGTCGTGAACTTCTGGTAGAGCACCATGGCACTTCCCGTAGTTAGTGCCCGACTTGTGGTGTCGGTACCCAACCTGCGGCTGGTGGGCAGCCTCCTCTGTATTTTGAGTTTCAGGTGGGGGAAAAAAGGATGTTTCCAGCATGATTCTTGTTCGGTTGTTTCTTGTGGGACGCCCAAGTTCAAACGCCGGTGCCATGAGCACTCTCCTGAACAGTGCCTCTCGTTTCCCTTTGAGGATCCGGTTCCTTTTTGCTCTCTGCATCCCCGGTCCGGCCCGTCTGGTACAACGTTTCTCAGCCCCCTTGGAAGCGGAGCACGCCTGGGACACCCCCATTGGGGTTGGCTTGGGAGCTGGAGGCACCTCCGTTTGCACAGGGCTGGGGCCGGAGCAGGAGGACAAGCTGGCAGTTCATGTAACGCCGCCAGGGGAGATAAAACTCATTAATTCTTCTGCCTTTCCTGGGGATTAGCTGTGTGAAGTCCCTGCTAAAGCGTATTGCTGTCGATGACTCAAAATAGGAATACGCAGGCCGTCATACGCCTCTGACCTTGCACAGCGTCAGACCCCGGGGATGCCGCACGGCGCGGAGCTCCCAAGTTTAATTATGAGAAGTATTTATGTACTCGGCTGGGATTTCGACACATTTTGAACTAGATTGCGTCACCTCCTCTTCTTGTAAAACCAAAATTTGGTCAAGTTGTCGTAACCGCTGATTGATTTTTCAGTGTCCCTGCTCCTGCAGGGGGGTTGGGCTGGGTGACCTCTAGGGGTCCCTTCCCACCCAAACCATTCTGTGTTTCTATGATTTGTACTGGTATCGGTTTATTATTTTGTGATGCAAACCAAACACCCCCACCCCCAGCCCTCTTTCACCTTTCTCAGTCACTTTTTAATTAGAATTTTTACAACCACTCTATGAATCTTTGTTCCACCTTGCTACGAATTCTCCGTCTGCGACTGGCTGGTACCTCAGCCTCCTGGAAGAGGCAGCGCTTGGCGCTTTTTTATACCAGCGTTGTGGTTTTAATTATTTCTTCTGTTCCTTCTGTGCGTTAACGTTGGGTTTGCTTTTATTAACTGCAGCTTTGCACCGAGTTAAGGGTCGTCTTCAGGGATATCTTCCAGGCACACTTATCAATTCCCTTTCCTGAGCTCCAGTCTTGCAAGTGGTATCGTTAGCCTAAGTGAAGGTAAAGATATAAAAAGCGTAAAGAGATGTATTGGCAAGAGATATTGCATGGGATATTGCATTAGGGGCTGAGAGAAGGAGTTGGTGCAAATCTTTTTGTGTTTCTTCCCAGAAGAAACTGGGAATCAGTTTGAAAGTCCAATGGTGTCGATAGAAGAGTTGGCGAATTCAGGTCTCCTTAAAATGGAAATTCACCTGAGAAGTCAGGAGGCTGGGTATTTGTTTTGAGCCTTCCCACTGCATTTGTTGTGTTTGAAGACGTTAGGGTATATGTTCTTGTTTCTTTTGTACAACTACAGGATCTGGAAACGTCTTTGAAAGCTGAAGCGACCGGGTTTTTACAGTAATAGGCGAGACCACGAGGGAGCTACAGCAGCGCAGCCAGGATGGGCACAACGGAAGTTCAGGATTTTTTTGTGTGTTATTTTTAAGTGTAAATCAAACGTTGCAGGTGTTAGCTCATTTATAGTGACCTTCCACGTGCTGTGCATATCGATACATCCCTTACTTACAAGGAGGACTCCATTTATGCCTCAGTGCTTTTCCCCATCCTGGCCGTTACCACCAGCCGCTGCTTTTCTTTCTCTCTTGAAGTGATTTAAGGTTGAAGTGTGAGAAACAGTGGTCAGCAGAGACGCGTGTGCCGTACCCTTCATACCCAAAGCTTCCCCACAATGTGTAGGGCTGGACCACCTCCCCCCTTGGGGCGCCTCTAAATCCCGGCCTCCCAGGACAGAGGTGCAATCCTCTTGGTCATGAAGTTGAATCTTCTTGGTCATGAAGTTGAATCCTCTTGGTCTTGAAGATGAATCCTCTTGTTCATGAAATTGAATCCTCTTGGTCATGAAATTGAATCCTCTTGGTCATGAAGATGTTGGTGCAGCTGGGGCTGTTGTCAGTGTTTCGTATGTCTGCATATCGTGGCAGGGCTGCAGGGATGCTACAAGCTCTTGCCTGTCCACTGGTTCATCCCAAGGCGCTACACTGGGAGAAGTGAGTAGGCTGGAGCAAAGAAGAGATATTATTAAAGTGAAAAAACCCAACCAGACAACCCCAAAACCACCAGGCACAGAAGATGAGGAAGAGGAGAGCCCACAGCGTGTCTTACTGCTGCTGTTGGAGGGTGTCTCAGCTCACAACTGAACCTTCTTGCTTTGGTGTTCTAAACATCTCCCAACAGCTTGTAAGGACTTCAGGGGAAGGCCAATCTGCATATTTTTAATATTCCTTGTGACAAACCTCACCGAATTAGTTTTACGTAGTCCAACTTCGTTGTTTCCATGTGTTTTTCTGTGGGGCATGTAGAGGCGGTGAAAGGTGCCTACCAAGGCTTCGGTAATGAAACGCTTGACTCTCCGATTGCTGCAGGCTCTTGGTCTCAGTGCAGTTGTCTTTAACGCGGGCCAGCAAAGGAAGATTAACATTTTCCTTGGTCAGATATAAACCATCAGGCTTCGATGTGTTGTTGTGTTCAGAGAACTGTCTTTATTCTAAACTGGGGGAAGATTAGGCTTAAGCGTGAGATATAAAGATATATAAATCATAGAATCACAGAATGGTTTGGGTGGGAAGGGACCCCTAGAGTCACCCAGCCCAACCCCCCTGCAGGAGCAGGGACACCTTGAACCACATCAGGTTGCTCACAGCCCCGTCCAACCTGGACTGGAAGGTTCCCAGGGATGGGGCCTCCACCCCCTCTCTGGGCAACCCCTGCCAGGGTTTCACCACCCTCAGTGTACAGAATTTCTTCCTTAGATGCAGTCTAAATAAAGGCCTTTGAGGTATTCAGGGAAAAGTTATTTGCTGAAATTATTTGGAGTTTGTCTTCCTAGTGAAACAGAGAGCAAAGCCACCCTAGGGGTGGTACTGTGTGTCTGCGGTGGTGCTAACGTTTTTGTAAAGATGCTCAGAGCCTGCGTGTCGATGCCTGGGGGGAGAGGAACGGGCTTTGGTTTCCCCTCTGCCCCGCTGTGACCTGAGCAGCAGGTTGTGGTCAACGTTTCTGCATTGACAGGCTTGAAAGCTTTGCTCAGCCTCACAAGTTCAGCGTCTCAGGGTTGTTCCAGCTCATACATTAATGAAAACTCTCCCTAGCGATGAGTGTGAGGAGCTGAATTGTCCAGCATCCGAAAACAGGACAGCACCATGACGTGTGGGCCCGTTCTTGGTCTTACATGCGTATCAAGATGCAGAAATTCCCGTTGTTCTGTTACTTATACTTGAAGAGTTTGATCAAAGCAGTAAAAAATGACTGTTCATGGTCTCTGGTTTGGCTAGCAGTTCACGTTATCTGTTGGCCTCTGAATTTCATATCATGTAATAATCTGTTTTAAATATTGCAGCTTAACGTTTCACTTCTGACTGTGCCGCCGTCTTCTCTAATTGCAGTATTCCCAGGAGAAATCATGGATGAAAAGCTGTCTTACAAAGAATTTCTCGATCGCAACGACTCCTGGACGCTGGATGAGAGAGACCTGTGCTTTGAGTCGCAGCCCGTATTCAAGCCCATGGAGATGGCTGGTATGACTGCATTGCCCTTAAAACCGTAGCGTTGGTTGTTTTATGGGTTGCGTGCCACGGCAGAGCCCTACCCTCCATCCCTAGGGGTGGTTCTGTTCTCTTGCCTTGCACTCATGCCTGTGTTCTTTGGAGTGTGTTGCTTGGTTTCCCTAAAACACATAACGTCTCGACACTGGAGCTAGAGGTTGGACTCGATGATCTAAGAGGTCTTTTCCAACCAAAGTGATTCTATGATTCTATGATTCTATGATTCTAACGTAGTGCATCGAGCCCCTGACGTGCCCTAGCACGTGGTCTGGCTGCTTAAAGACGGATCGCTGCTCCGGCGCGCGAGAGCACGCGGGGCGCGGGTGAGCAGATTTCCCCCCCTGGCTTGGCTCACGCAGCGGCAGTGGTTTTTGCTTGACGCCTGCAGTTCAACCGCTCTCGAGCGCCGCGGCTTTCAGTGCAAACCTCGCCAAAATTGTTGACAGCTGAAGGCCAGCCTGCCCCGGCGCTCCGGAGTGCCAGTTCCAGCAGTCACGTAGCGGCGTCTGCAATGCGGGTCGGCCTGCGGAGGCAGCCCGTGTAGCTGCTGACTCTCTTGAAAATTAGATGAACCTTGTGTAACTTGCTCCTGCAAAAAGATGCTCTTTCAGCTGACGGCTTGCCCGCAATTTGCTCTCACTTTTGGGAAAGCTGATGGGCAATGACTTGCTCGCCCGGGGAGGGTACAAGAAATGTGTGTGGATTGTAACAGGCAAGGAACCTGGGAAAGACGCTGACTGAAGCAGGATGAATTTTTTTTATTTTTTAATGTATTTTTGAGCACTGTGGACCTGCTTCCTAAATTATTTTCCTTCTATCTAAATCTCGTATTTACTAGGAATCACAGAATCCCAGAATCCCAGACTGGCTGGGGCTGGCAGGGCCCTCGGGAGCTCACCCAGTCCCACCCCCCTGCCCAAGCAGGCTCACCCAGAGCA